AGGAGGAGGAGGAGGAGGAGGAGGAGGAGGAGGAGGAGGAGGAGGAGGAGAGCAAGGCTGCTGAAACCTTGACGAGATGAGGTCATCGAGCAGCTGCCAGATCCCCAGAAGGCAGCCCAGGGAATCGACCCGGCTCTGGCTGCCTCATCGATATGCTTCCCAGCAGGGACAGAAAACAGCTCTCTGCCTCCAGGGGAGCCTCCCTTTGCTGGAAGACCAGAGGAACTGCCTGAAACTCAGGGGTCCTTTTCAGCTGGATGCTTCTCCCCTCTCCTCTCCTCCCTCTCAGCTCTTCCCCTTGGCCTGCCACATTACCTGCCTCGGTTAGGTGGCCACTTTATCATTCCAGTCTCCGGGGTAGGGCACATCATCACATCCCTCCAGGCCTAAAGAGCAGTCTTTGTGCAGAACAGGGTTACAGGGATTGTCTGGCACCAGGGAGAGGTGAGCTCAGTTCAGTCTGTCTGTCCTCAGGTGCTCTGTGCTCCCCAAGGGCCACAGGAACACATTTTTCCACCGACACACGTTACCCCAGCACAGCCCGGGATCGCTGCAGCTCTTGGATCGATACAAACCCTCAATATTTCAGTTGCTGGACTCCCAGCTCCCCCATCGACCCATGGTGCTGCATTGAACAAGCCGCCCTGTCTTCCCAAGGTTTTTCAGGTGAGAGGTTTTGCTATGGAGCTGAGCACAACGGGGCCTAAACCCCGCAGGCAGGCAGGATTAACAGCCCCAGCACCGTGTGAAGCCAGCCAGAAGCCAAAGAGCCCTCAGGAAAAGACCTACAGCCCTGGAACAGGCTCCACAAATCAGAACTGCCTGAAAAACCGGGCAGTGAAACACAGCCCTGATCTGTGCCGGGGCCCCAAGACACGATGGTGATATAAATTCGAAGTGATAATAATAAATGGCCTATTACAGTAACTCACACATTGCTGGGGGAGGGAGGAAACCCATCCACATCCCAGGCCTCCCTGCAGAGCCTCACACAAGCCACGAGCACCGCGGAGCTGCGCCTTTCCCCTTTTTAATGGCCGGGAGAAAAAGGCTCCTGCGAGGAAGCCTCAGCAGCCCAAGGCAGCAGGAATATTTATCATCTTGGCCACCTGCCTGTCACAGAAAAAATCGCTTCCTCCCTCCTGGTTGGGAGGCAGCTCTAATGAGTGATGGGCAGCCACGGCCGCAGCCACGGCCGCTCAGGCAGCCTCGGCGACCCACACACCACGTCCCCCCCTCTCCCCCCCTCCTCCGTGAGGCAGGAGGTCCCACCGCCTGCTAATCGCTCAGTCAAGTAATTAGCTGAGGCAGATTTTGGCTCCTGGCTAGGCTGGCGGGGATGCCACCCTGCCCTGCCCAGCTGCCAGGCTTTGAGACCCCACTTTGCACCACCCTGCTCCAGCCGTGCCTTTGCTGCCCGAGGGACTGTGCCACTGGGGACCACAGTGACTTCCCTGCCTGCCTGTCCCACCCAACAGGCACCAATCCGGCTCTCCCAGTGCCTGTGACACTGAGTAATACACCACAGGCAGGGGAAGGAACCCATCCACCTCTGCCCTGGAAAAGGGGCCCAGCAGTGGTTACTCTGACAGCACCCTGCAGCCATTAATAACTTGCTGCCTCTCCCTGAAGCTCTCTGTAATTTACTGGTGTCTGTCCAAGGTGCCAAAGGAGGCCCAAGCAACTGCAAGATCCCTCAGGCCATCATTTTGGGGATTTCCCTTCTCATGTGCTCGGGACTCACTCTGTCCCTGCTGGCCCCTCTTTATGGCCCTTGATTTGCTTCACTGCAAACAGAGTCCTTCATATTAATTAAAAGAAGGTTTTTGGTTCCTTGCAGAGAAGCACGGAATCACTGAGGTTGGAGAAGACCTCCAAGACCGTCAAGTCCAACCTCTGACCAATCCCTACCTTGTCAACCAGACCAGAGCACTGAGTGCCACATTCCTTGAACAGCTTTAAGGATGGGCACTCCCACCACCTCCCCAGGGATCCCACTCCAACATTTAACAGGGAAAAAAAAGTTTCCTTTTGAAAAAAACGACAGAAAGTTGAGAAAGCAACTACCTGAAAGGAGGTTGTAGCCAGGTGGGGGTTGATCTCTTTTCCCAGGCAACCATCAGCAAGACAAGAGGGCTCGGTCTCAAGTTGTGCCAGGGGAGGTTTAGGTTAAATATTAGAAAGAATTTCTTTCCAGAGAGGGTGATCAGCCATTGGAATGGGCTGCCCAGGGAAGTAGTGGATTCTCCATCCCTGGAGATTTTTAAAAAGAGACTGGATGTGGCACTTAGTGCCATGGTCTAGTAACCGCAGCGGTAGTGGATCAAGGGTTGGACTTGATGATCTCGGAGGTCCCTTCCAACCAGGTTGATTCTATGATTCTATGAACCACACTGTGGAATGAGGGGTGGGTGGAATAGCCCTGCTTTTAGCACCACAAAACATGTCCCTTGAGCACTCACCTGCATGGAAGTAGGGGCTCATGGTGTAGGGGAACCCGAAGGGCAGCGGCTGAGGCGGCGGGATGGAGGCCGGCGGGAGGTACTTCACCTCGGCCTTGTTGATGCCCGGGCCGAGCAGGTGGCTGGGGGACTCTGCGCTCGAGGAGCTGCAGGGGGCATTCTGGGCAGCGCCCGCCTCGCCCATCTCCTTGGCCCCCTCGCACGCCTTGCCCGCCTCCTTGCACTCCTTGAGCTCCGCGGCCGAGCCGCCGCCGCCCTCGGCCTTCAGGCTCTCGGGCTTCTCGTCGCTCACGTCCGCGTCGCTCTCCGAGTCCTTCATCTCCTCGTCGTTACAGTCCGGGGCCCCGTCCCGCGCCCGCGGCTCCGCCGGCTCCTTGGCCTCGCCCACGCCCTGCGGCTCGGCGCGGTGCTGCCCCGCGGTTTTCCGGCTGCCCCGCCGGGGCTGCTCCTTGGGCGGCGTGGAGGAGCTGGCGCCGGGCACGGCGGGGTTGAGGGACAGCAGCGGGGTGTTGTTGTGCCGCAGCACCAGCATGGCGTTCCGCCGGGACAGCTCCTCCCGCAGCGGGTGGCCCTCGGGGATGTCGTGCACGTTGCGCAGGGCCGGGTGGTCCGGGGGCAGCCCCGGGTGCAGGCTCAGGGGGTCGCCGGCCAGCAGCCTCTGGCGGTGGAGGTTCTCCAGCTCCTTCTGGCGGATGATCTCGGCCGACATCTCCAGCCTGGGTGGGGAGAGGCACAGGGAATGTTGGCAGTAACTACCCCCGTCCTCACTGGGCCACCTTGCTGGTTCGCCTCAGCCACGTCATTTAGGGGTGCCCTCAGTGCTAAGAAAACCACAGTGCAGGTGGGGTGGGCAGTGGAGCAGTTTGGGACAGGGCTAGGGGATCTTTCAGAGCAAATATTAACATTCTTGTGACTGTGTGAATTTTTCTTCTGGTAATTTTTCCTCCCTCCACTGCAGGTTCTGATCTAGTGAACAAATGTGCAGTAAGTGCGAAAATGTTCCAAACCAGATCCCTTTCCGAATGGAGTTATTTTTAAATGTCCTGTCACAGAGTGCCAGACTTTTTGCTTGGACTTTCCTCTACAATGTGGGATCATCACAGTGCAGCAATGACCTGTATTAGGACTTGCTACTTTCATGTCTTGGGTTGGGCTTAATGTCGTGTTAAATAACGTGATGCTGCCAATCTTGTTTGTGAAGAGAATATTTGGTTTTGCCTTATGCCATTAATGGTGCATTCCATGGGACAAGATCCAAAATCACAGGATGAACATGCTTTTTCTTCCTTCTGGGAGGATTTTGTGTGTCAGTCCCACTTTATCTGTGCTCCAGTTGCTCAGGTGGGATTTGTACTCATCAAAGTGTTCCCTCCACACCCACACGCTGTTTCCACTGGTCTCAGTTGGACACTGCTCTGCCACCCAGGCACACCTCACCCCATACAGCACCCCACCTTACTCTGCCTGCTGCTGGAAAAGGGAAGGAAAAATCCATCCCTCTCCCACTCTTACCTGGCCAGGTTTTGCTTTCGTAGCATCTCCTGCTGCCGTGCAAACATCTCCGCTTGTGCCGGCTGGAGGAACCCGTAACCTGGGGACAGGGAGAACAGCACCGTGGGCTCACTCATCTCAGCACTGACTCTTTGCTACCTCAGGCCAGCTCTCCAGAGGGCTAGCTCAGAAAGAAAAGGGCAACTGAGTGCTGCTTCCTGCTCTAGAGCCCACGGGTTGAAACACCAGGGAGGCTGGTGAGGACTAAAGGAAAGAGGAGCCAAGGCAACTGCTGCTATTGCTGCAAAACCAGGGTGAAGTCGGCACAGCAGTCAGGGGGAGACACAGAAAGCGTGTCTGGGCTGTTTGGGTGAAGGACAGTTTGTCTCAGCCCGCCCTGGCTGCCCACAAGCATTACCTGTGCACTCACCTGGCGTCTGGCACAGCGCCGAAGGCACCCCGAGGAAGGGAGGTCTCAAGTGGGGCCCCAGGGCAATGTGGGGAGCGTTCTGGGGCGAGAGCAGAGGTGGTGGGTGGGAGATCTCCCTGCAGAAATCAGAAAAGAAATTCACATTAAAAATCTGGAGGCCCCATCCAAAAGGGCCCCGGCTCAGGGAAGAACATCCTGGCTGCAGGTGACCTGCATTCTGAGCCAGAGGCTAATTCTGATACACAGAGCTCCTAAAATGCAGAGAAAGAAACCAAAAGAAGCAGAATCAAAAGGGGAAGAAAGCAGACAGGACTCCACAGGTCACACATACTTCCCACCTTTGCCTCTGTGGTCTTTCAGCTGGGCTGAAAGGGATTTTGGCTGCCCAGGGCTAGCAAAGGCACGGCTGAAGATTCTGCATCTGCCTCTCCCCTTATCAAGCCTGGGTTTCTATCTCATCTACCGACAACTGAAAAGGTATTTTGTGTTTTGGGAGCTGGAGAGGGGTTCCGGAAAAATCTGTAGGAAACACCAGCACGCCTTGCAGAAAATCCCTGTCCTAGCTGGGACAAGGGGTTGGTCTTTAATTCTGGAGAGAAGAGCTGAGAGTCAGGCAGAGAAAGACACAGACAGGAGAGATGGAGAGAGGGATGTGAAAGTGCCACGGGGCCAGCGGGAAGGTGTCCTGCTAGAAAAGGGGTGGGTGATGCTGGACAGAATAGGCAGAGCAGATTGCCAGGTAGTTAAGTCAGCTGGAGGAGGCAGGTTTGAGGGGTGGGAAGGGGACAATGCCTGGAAGCAAGGCAGGTAGCACTTGCTTGCAGCAGGAGGGAAAGGCAAACAAAAAAAAAAAAAAGAAAAAAAAACAGGCAGGAAGGGAATAAGAGCCAAGGTCTCTTCCATTAGTCAAATCTGCCCTGGGAGCCTGCAAGCAAATCTGCTTTCCGGCTGCACGTCTCTTAATTCCTTTTGATGGCCACTTACAACATTATTACCTTCACCAGGGCATCCAGAGGCAAAGCCAAGTGCTGTGCCGTTTATTTTCATTTTACGGTATCTCCCTGTAAAATCTGCTTCGGGAGAGACTGGAGGGCACGAGAAAGGGGGCCAGAAGGTGCCTGTGACTTTGCATCAAACAGACCATACGCACAACCACGCTGCCCATTTCAGAGGGGGGGATGACACGGGAGGGTGGGATGAGGACCCCCAGCTGTCCCATGCGGTGTGGGGGGGGGGGGGGATCAACACCGTGAAAAGCCAGATAAGGACTCTTTGGGGGCGAGGTGGGCAAGAAGAGATCTTCCCAGAGTGGTTTTATCCCCACTCTATGCACCAGCCACTACAAAACGCTGATCCCACGGCTGAGATCCCCCCCATCCAAAATTCCTCCTTCTCGCTCACCCCATCTTCTGCCTCCCCCTTCTCCCTTCCCCTGTCTGCCTCCGCGGCTCTCCTTCCCCCCTCCTCCTCCTCCTCCTCCTCCTTCCCTCCCCTAGCTCTCCTCTAAACTAATTGCACAGCTCGCTGTGTCTGGAGGAGAGCCACGGATCGATCGGTCGCTGTTGAAATGTTAATGCTAATCGTATAACCGCTCCGCCAGCACCTCGCACTCCGCTGGCAGCTCCAATTAATCTCAGGTAACGCAGCGCGTGACCTTCGGCTCCGAGCCGGGGCAGCAGCCAAGCGATGCTTATGTAATTACACCATGAAGTGTGTAATCACCTGCCCTAATCCCCGAGGCCTCACAATTAGCCGAGGCCCCCCGGTCGCCGCGGCTGCCAAGTGCTTTTGCCACCCCGGACAGCCCCGCAGATGAATAACGGACAATTAAAGCGGCGTGACGGGGGCTCCGAGGTGTCCGCTCGATCGTAATTAGCTGTAATCACGGGGAGACGAGCCCGGGCAGACGTGCTGTTCGTTTTATAAGAAGCAATTTAGGGAAATCAAGTCGCTTTTTTTTTTTTTTTTTTTTTTAACCGTTCCGTGGCCGGGGCGAGCAGCCTCGCCTGGTCCATAGTGCGGGAAAGGGGGATCCTGCAGGAGGTCCCGAAGCCCCAGGTGCTGGCGGCCCACAAGGGACTTTAAAAACAAAGTAGCTTCTTGATTTTGGCCAAGAACACAGAATCTGTGCCCAGGAAAGCGGAGTGTTTGATGGGGATAAGGAGTGGGCACTGGAAAATAGAAGGTTCTCCCTTCGGTGGCAGCCCGGTGTTTATCAGGTTATTTTTATGGTTTAATGTTGTGCTAATGGGCATAACTTTGATCCCTAAGGAATTCGCATCTGCTCAAGACTCTGCAGTTCGTTCCCTCTGTCCTCTCCTCGGAGCTTCCCTGCCTTCTGGGGCCTGGGATCAGCTCCTGGTTTGGGCTGGCCACTGAGGGGTGCCTGGCTGGGGAAGGGGATGCAGCAAAGGGACAACGCTCCCGGCCCCAATCCCAGCGGCAGGAACGGGGCTGAGCACAGCAGGAGCGACTTCAGACTGAGAAGTCAGGTGCTGCCTCTGTTCCACACACACCAACACACGCTGGGGATGAGTCCAAAGGCTTGGAAAATTCAGGGAGGCGCATTCACAGACGCTGTCACTGTGCCTGCCTGACACAGCAGCACACGGAGACCCAGGCGCTGTCCTCTCAGCAGCCCTGGAGCTCCCCACCAAACACACGCACAGGGAAGCACTGCTGGTGAGGCCAAAGGAACAGGAGCAGCCCGAGGTCCCACACCACACCCCTGGAGCCTGGCCTGAAGTCAGAGAAGGGAGGCTGCAGATGGCCCAACACGAAGGGGTCATTGCACCCCTCCTGCTGTCCCCTGACACTCAGCGTCAATCCCCAGCAGCAGAGAGCTCAAAAAGCGAGCAGGAATGCTCATAAATATTTAGGGAACGAGGGACTCTTCTCCCTGCAGGCATCCTGATGCTCCACAGCTCCTGCTGCAGAGCCCTGAGGAGCATCTTACCTCCATGTGAGACCGTGGACAGACGCTTCCTGCCATCCCACAAACCCAACCCTCTGGACACAGAACCTGTTGGAGCCTGCCACTGCTCCCTCCCAGCCCATCTGCCTGGTATTTGGCATGGAAACCTGGCACAGGAGGGAGGCAGTACCACCAGGTCGTGTCCTGGCACGGAGCTGGGAAGCCCTCCCAGGCTGCCTGGTGCAGATACAGCCAATTGCTTCCAAGCCAGCTTGGAAAAGAACTGGCAACCTCGGAGTAAAAAGCCCCAGAGACTTTAACAAAGGCTGCTGTGCTTTTAGACAGACATGCACCACAACACTAATCCTTGCATCCTTTCCCAGGTATGTACCAGCCTTCAACTCCCCCATTAAATTCCTTCCTCCTCTTCCTCCGCCACTCAAAGGGCAGAATTACAGCCCCATATTCTGAGAACCTGAATTTAGCCCCTGGCAATTACATCTGATAAGCCTTGTCCTTACCTTGCAGAGAGCAGTTCTGTGTTACTGCATATTCCTCCCCCCACCCCCTTTTCTTTTTTTCCCCCCTAATATGCCAGCTGGAGGCTTGTGAGCAGGGTATTAGGGGATTTGCACTGCATGCTGCTAAATTTGATATGTCCTTTAACAGGAGACAAATGGTTCACAAGGCTTAAAAAGTATTGACTTTTCTTTAACAATAAGCACTAATGGCCTTCAAATAATCAATATTTAAAGTCATTATGGGGTTACACATTATACTGTTAAAACCAAGCCTTTCACTTTAACCCCATCATATCCTCCCCAGCCCAGAGCAATGCTCCCCCCCCCCCCCGACTTCAATCCAAGATCCAAGGGAAGGCTCGGAGCACAGGCTGTGACTGGAGATGTGAGAGGGTCAGGAAATGCAGATTGAAACCGGCAAGGCATGGAAATAAATTTAGAACGGATGGAAGAAGGGGGAAAAAAAAAAAAAAAAAAGAATGCATGAAAGCTCTGCTTTCTCCTGCTCTGCATTTGATAGGAAGAGACACTTTAAACCCGAGGTAATAGGCAGGCAGCACACAGCTCCTCGCTGCTCTGCCATCCCCAGACACTGTGCCAGGAAGGGAAAATAAATAAAATGAAAGGGCTTTCTAAAAATGGTGTTTGGGATTTCCAGGCAGGAAAAGACATGCACTGGAGCTGCCCTTCTAGGGCAGCAACGAGTCTGGACACAGAGAGATGGGCCTGGTTTGTGGTGCCCAGGGAAATCGCTCCCTCAAAATCCAAACTGGTGCTAAAACCAAATTAGTTAAATCGGGTCAAGCTCTTTGGCCTTTGCTCTGCATAACATTCAGCCAGCTGGGATCTGCTGAGGATCCCTCCAGTGCAAAAATCAGAAAATCAGAATATTCAGAGCAGAGAGGGGGATGCAAGGCTGGGGTGGGTAAGAGGAGGAGAGAGACAGCGCCCAGAGAGCACAGGAGGATGTGCCCAAGGAGCCAGGAGTGAAAAGGAAAGCCTCCAAAAAAACAGGGGGGAGGAATTAGGTGGTGAAAGAACAAATTGCAGCAACAGCAGATGGAAAGAACTCCATCCAAAAATCCTTGCTGGGTATTTTGGGCACATCTCTGCTCAGAGAAAGCCTCTGGCTGATGCACAATGTCTGTCAGCTCCGCAAGGGAAGGGCAATGAGAGCCTCTCTCAGACTCTGTGGCTCCCATTCCCAGAACACTCCAGCCAAAGGGCTCAGCTTCCCAGGACCCCGGAGATGAGGATGCTGATGGCATCTCAGGCAGGCAGTTTCTTGTTCCTTGGCATTCCTCCTGCCTTCCCCTGGAACTGCCTGTGGTCCTGGAGGATGAACTGTGTCCCTAATGCTGGTTGCAGACAGCCCCAGAGCCAGCTGAGGGCTTGTACCAAGGACCTGCCTCAAGTCCTGCCCCTCCTCTGACCAGGCTCTACCTTCTCCCCTCCCGAGAGAGGGGCAGGCCTCCCCCCCAGCCCTCCACACTACACACTGCAGGCACGAGAACAAGCTCCTCACAACTCCTAACACAGAACTGATGCTTCATATTCAGCCAACAAGCTTCACCCCACTGGTCACACTGTCCATCAGCTCAGCCAACCTCGCCCGACCTCCCGGCCAGTCCCTTCTGTTTGCAGGGGGCATGAAAGGTTTTCCTGAAGGTGGGAGAACACAAGTTGTTCCCCAGGCTCCAGGTACACCAGCCTGCTCGGAGAGAAGCAGAGAGATGAACACCTTGGGTGAGAACATGCCAGGCTAAACGACCCCAGCAAAACCAAGCACGCTGCCAACAAAGCCTGGAGGCAGGATCCAGGGGGTGGGATCCAAGAAAACTCTGCAGGGCACAGACATCTGCCATTTTTGCAGGATGTTTGGAGATGGGAAGTGCTCCAGGCTGGAGCAGTTTCAGTGGCACCTTTTAGTTGTGCCCTTTCCTCTTCCAAGTCTTTTTATAAAGCCGAACTCAACAATCCTCTCAAACAAACCACCAGGCCCTGGCACTCCGTAATCCGAGCCCGAATCAACGGAGGAAGGATCTAGGAAACCAAAACCATGAAACCAAGTGGATTCTCCAGCCTGTGGCTTTAGTCTACTTTTGGCAAAATGTCTCAGTTTTACTGACTCTTTCCAACAGATGGACCAAAGAGGTGAAAGGGCCCCCATGTCACTAAAGGGACCTTGGAGCCTGGTCCAAGAAAATCCATATCCACGTGTTTGTGTGTACATGAGTGTATCATCCCCTCAAAGCCACTACTCACCTGCCTGCCTTGTCCTTAGTGTCATTAAACCTTCCAGCCTGTTTCTGACCAGCAAAAACGGGTGATAATTAGTTGATGAATGTCTGAACACACCCATCTTCCCAATTGTTCCCTGTCTCAGACCCACCCTCACCCCTGGAAACAGGAAAACTGTATGGTGTAGTTCTCATTATCAAGCAAGTTCTCTGCATTCCTGTCTTTGCAAAAACATCAGCGCTGCCCTGATAAATAAAACTGGGTCACCGCTGTGGGTTTCAGCCCCTTTGCTTTGCCACACATAATGGTTGAAGCGACTAATTATTCTTACCCACAAAGCTGCTGCACCTGAGAGCTGACCTGATCCCCACAGATCTCCCAATAGGAAGCTGAAATGGAATTTTAACACCATGCCAAACAGTTCACATCCCCCTGCATCATGTGTTATTACTTCTGCTCCTGGGAAAGGAGATGCTGTAAATCTACCTACAGTTTGCCTACGAACCTGAAGCAGCTCCCTCCACTGCCTCCTCCTCTGTCAGTGCCCACCTGAACCTCTGGAAAATTCTGTACCTTCATAACAAAGGTGCACAGAGGCTGCTGTGATTTACCCTGTTGACAAAGACCATGGCAGCCAAGTACAAAACCCAAGGGTAACAGGGAATGGAAGGGAGAAATTACCCCACACAGAACTTTACTGCTTTACAACACACGGCCACAGCTTCTCCTGGTACTCCCCAAACCACCTCTGGTGTTTTGGCTAAACAGCCAGGAACAATTTGCACAGGACAGCTCCAAACAGGTCACTTCTGAGTGGGAGCAGAGGGATGCAAGTGGACCCTCAGTGATACTCAGGTGGCTGCAGAGCTCTGGGGAGAAGCAACGACACTGTGCACTAATCATAGAATGGTTTGGGTTGGAAGGGACCTTAAAAATCACCTGGTTCCAATCCCCTGCCACGGGCAGGGACACCTTCCCATGCATTAGAGCAGGTTGCTCAGAGCTCCACCCAGCTTGGCCTTGGACACTTCAAGGGATGGGGCCATCCACAAACCACACCAAGCAGACTTAGCAAGTCATGACCATGGGGACAGCTGTAGCTTCCCATTTCCCAGCAGGTTTCTCCAGCTCTGCTAACCAAGGATTATTACACCTAAGAGCCTGGCTGAGGAGGTTGGCCACACAGGACCCCACCACACCCTCCCTGGGGGAGCAGATGGCTGCAGAAAACACAGACAGCCTGGTCTTGCCATGTCTTGGGATGGCAGAGGAAGGGAGCACAGGATCTGCCAAGCCAGGCCCACCATGGGGATGTTTCAACATAGTTTGTCTCAAAGCTCCTTGGAGAATGACTTTGCCCAGGAATAAGAGCAGGTCCTGGACACACAGTCGGAGCTGGGAGCACTGGGGGAAAACAAAAGCAGGGCTGATAACCTGCTGTGAGCCTTATTTCAGCCTGCAGGCTCTTGGACAGAAACAAGACCACAGAGTGAAAAAAAAAAACCAAAACCCAACAAAAACAAAAACCAGCTTCTTTCTTTCGTGCCCACCAACACAGCCACAGGCTGGTCTTGCTCACAGTCAAATAACCAGTCCTTTAAAGTGGGTGCAAATATCCTTGCTCCACACAACTTTACCACATTACACTGCTCTTGCAACTGAGCCACTCCAAGGCCTTCCCAAATGCCAAAATACAACCTGCTTTCAAGATGAGAACCACTGTCACTGAGCAACAAGGGTCACTGAGACACTGAGTGACTCCTGCAGACCTGTTCCAAGGTCCCACCGGTGTTTCTCTCAACATCAAAGGCAGTTGTGCCCCTGTGTGTTCTTTCCCCCTCCTCAGGCTCCCCAGGATTTCACTCCCACACCAGCGCAACTACTCACGGGGCTACTTGGAGAATGGAATCAAGATGAAAAGCGGTGGTTTGTTCCAACAGTCAACTCCTGGCCTTCAGTCTCTGTCCCCCGAGCTAGTGAGCAACTTCTCCCCCCTTTTTCCCCAACCAAATTTCCTGGCCTAGCCCAGCTCCATTACCTCCAGCACCTGCCTGGCCGTGGCAACTACCCCTGGAGTCTGATCCGTATCGAACCCATTTTCGGTTTGCCCCTCCTGCGAGCAGCACCTCCCCGTTAGAAGCCTCCACCCTTCCCGTACATGCCTTTCCAGCCAGGCCTCCGGCTGGCCTGGCACCTCTCCAGGCCACACAGCGCTGGAGGAACGTTCCTGCTGACTGGCTGCCCTGAAAGCCGTGGATCCCTGCATTCCTCACAGGTCTGCCTGCAGCCCGCACGGATCGGGCTGCGTTTTATGAGGCGGGTTAGCCAAAGTACACCCCGCAGGAGAAAAGGTTTACCAGGTCTGCCCAGCCCCTACACGTTGCAAAGGCACTTGGTTGGAGAGAAGGAAAAACGAGGAGGGGAAAAAAACCAAATAAAAAAGAAGGATCTCCAAGGCTATAAATGTGTGTAGGGGGGGAAACTCTGGACTCAACACGTACGTACACGTGCTACAGAAGTGATGCTGCAGCCTGCTCTGCACCCACCCCCTCATGAAAGCCAAAAAAAGTCTGAATACCAGAGACTTTCACGGCTTGTCCCGTGATATCCAAAGCCTTTGCATCCCCGTGGCCCTTTCCCGCCTCTGCTATCCCTGTCAGAAATGCACGCAGCTTTAATTTAATTTCCCTCTGAAGTTCTTGATTGCTGAGGGAATGGCTCGTGGCACAGAGCAAGATAAACGAGCTAGAATTTCCTGGGGGGGGGGGAGAAGGGAGGGCGGGGGAATATCAGCTTTCCAGCACTCCTAGCAGTGGTAAAGGCAAGCTGTGCCTCTTTCTGTGAACAAGAAAACTTCTCTTTCTACTCCATCCTAGAGCATTTGTTCTCTCTCCTCATCCAGGGATGCTGCAAAATGCGAAGTTAAACACCTAAACTTGCTCTTGGCCGAAGAACAGGTTGAAGTGGCATCGGCCCTGGAGATCCAGGGCAGGATTGGGATCATTTCAGCCAGTCAGTCACTCACCTGGATGTGGATGCACATGTGCCCAAGCACGAGCACTCCCTTTTCCATACGGACACCCCAGCATGGGACAGAACACCCCCCACCAACTTCTGCACCTGCACAACACCCAGGAGAGACACTCACACCTCACCTGGGCAAACCAACCCTGCCCAACCCCTGGGCAGGGGGTAACAGAATCCTTAAGGTTGGAAAAGCCCTCTGAGATAGCTGAGTCCAACTATTAACCAGACACCTCCCTGTTCACCACTAAACCACGTCCCCGAGGCGCCACATCCACAAGTTTTTCGAACACTTCCAGGGATGGTGACTCCACCACCTCCCCGGGGCAGCCCGTTCCAACGCCTGACCCAGGCACTCCCTCCCCTCCCCTCCTGCACCCCCAGGACACCCGTGCCAGCCTTTCCAGGCTTTCCCGAGGGTGCCACCGGCGCGAAGCCCCCCCGTGCCCCCCGCCCCGCACCAAACCCCGCCCCGGGGCGGGGGGTGACCCGTGCCCGCGGTACCTCTCGGGGAAGTGGGTGTCCCTGTGCTGGGGGAGGCCCTGCTTCCTCCGCTGGCTGGAAGAGTTGCTGGCCGAGGGGATGTGCGCTTCCATCGCGCCGGGGTTCCGCGCCGCCGCCGCCGCCGCCACCTCTTGCCGCGCCCGCAGGAGATCTGGGACAGGAGGGAAGGGATGAGCTGCTTGCCCGGCATCGACCCCCGCACACCCCCCCCCTCCCCCTAGCCCCGCGGATGGACGGACAGAAACACCCGCTGCCCTCCCGTCCCCGCCGCGGGGGCTGCTCCGGGGATGCTCCGGGCTCCCCGCGGGCGACAGCGCTGCCCCGGGGCTGCTCCCGGCCGTGCCCGCAGCCCCTCGGGCGACAGCTGCCCCCCCCCGCCGCCCATCCCCGCGGCTCCGGGGCTCCGGGAGAGGCTGCCCGGGCTGCCCCGGTACTCACACGGCGGAGCGGGCTCGGGCTGCTCTTGGCGGGATCCGCCTCCGCCGCCGAGGGAGTTTGGCAGCGGAGGAAATTGTGCAACTACGGGAGGGAGGGAGGGAGGGAAGGGGGGGTGGATTTGCTGTTTAATTGCCTTCCTGCCGGAGGGAAGGAGGGAGGGAAGGAGGGGGGAAAAGGGAGGGAAGGATGGAAGGAGGGATGGATGGATGCGGGGAGAGCAAAAGGAGAGGGAGGATCTCCCCAAACTGCCGTCTGCCCCCTCTCCGCGGGCGCGGAGCCTCCCGGTCGGTCCCGAGTGGAGCCGCGGTGGCACCTGCCCCGGGTCCCGGCCCCGCCGTGCCCCCTCCGCCCCCGCTGGGCTCTGCCGAGGTTATGGGGGCTCCCCCGGGGGCCGCAGCGTTTGCCGCGTGTGCTCTGCCCCGGTCGGGACAGCATCGCCCCCGAAACCACAGCCCAGCAGCTCCAGCTGCTGCTGAACGCAGGGAACAGGGGGAGCCACTTCCCCGGGTAGCCCCTTAAATCCACACCTGACTCCCGTCGTTTACCTGCCCAGGGACCCACCCCTGCTCCCAGGGACGGCCTGGCAGCAGTTTGAACACCCAGGGCTGTTTTCCCAAGCATGGTGCCCCCCCTCAGTCAGCCACCCACACCCTGGGGGATGCTGTGGCCTCACCTGGGCAAGGGGTGAGGGCTGGCCCTGCAGGGTCTGTACCTGCCTGGCACAGCTCTGCTGTAGGAACAGGAAGGGCCTGGCCACAGGGCAGAGGAGGATGGGGTACAGGAGGGGCCCCTCCCAGCCTTAGGCACAACACTTCCATCAGACATCAGCTGCAGGTCAGAAATGCACCCCTAATAAACCTGTGCTGCCCTGATACCACTGCAGAACCTGTGACCTGTGTCACCCAACCTGTGACACGTGTGCAGTGACAGGTTATACACCTGTACAGTCTCTCCAGGGCGGGTGTCAGCACAGACAAGCTGCCCACACAGGGGCTGTGTGATGGACAGTGCAGGCACGGCCACAGTCACCTCAGGCACCACTAAAGGGGATCACAGCAAGCCCCAAGGAGGAGCAGGTGATGCAGGTACAGCTGATACGCTGCTGCTCAGGGAACAACAAGGACTCGTGACATGGACACCCATACCAGTCGCACTGACAGAGGCTTTTCCAGAGTGCTCCCCTCTCCCAGTTAAGCATCAAAAGTCCCTTAGTCCCTGTATCTATATAAAAACACCCCCCCCACAACTTACATCCCACACCAAAACCTCTGCTGCCATTCACATGGCACACAGGAAACTCACACACTTGGAGGAGACCTCCCTCACGTGCTCACTGAGCACCAGGCTGCAAAAGGAAACCAAAACACAGCTGGGGAGAGGAGGAGAGGGAGATTTATCTCAGTGAACACACCCTGGGCAAGATCAGCTTGCACACTGAGATTGCAAAGCCCTCCACACGTCCATCCTCTTCCCACAATGGATTTGTAAAGCCAGGTTACTATAAGAACAATGCACGACCCTGGTGATGATAGACTCCCAATTTCCTTGCCTTCCTTTATACCACCATGCTGTTTTCCTTCAGTTCTGGAAATCCCAGATACCCTGTTAGCCCAGCCTGAGCTTCCTCAGTCACATCATCCAACATTTTGGTGACGGTCAGGGCTGAAGCCCCGTGGTGGGGTGGAAACACACAGCTGCTGTTTTTGCTGGCAGTAAGGAGGGCACCGGTGCCTGAATTTCCAGCCACAGTCACACATGCACAGTCCCTGTCCCCACACCCCCAGCTGAGGGGACAAACCTTAAAATGACGCTTCAGAACTGCAGGGGTGTGTAGGGAACACCAAACCCCACCGGATCACGTAAAAAGGCCCAGAGAATTCACCGAGCCAGGGGCCGTGCACCTCGAAACGTTTATAAATTAATTATCTGAAAAACCCAGGTCACTCCTCATCGCCACAGCGCCTGTAATTTAGAAGTCTGGCGTGCAGCCAGTTCCAGGAGCTGCATTGATCCTGAATGACCGCAACAACCCCCTGCACACCCACCCTCTCCTCGCTGCTTTCTCCCCCCTCCTCCCCTCCCCTGCGCCCCTACCCCCTTGCCCAGACCCCCCCCTTCTCCCCCAGGATCTGTTATTTACAATCCTGCACTCTGACAGTTGGGAAATCAGATTGATTGACAGTGGGACGCTGGCGGATGGAGGTTCCAGGCACGGAGACAGACTGAATTCAGAATGTGGGATGAATGCCACTGGGAGAACGGGGGCGGAGGAGGGAGGGGGGGGGCTGAAAAGCAATTAAAAAAAAAAAAGATTTCTAAATTATTAACATTTTTTAAATTATTGATGTTATTGGTGCCTCCATGTGAGCCCGCAGATAAACTGCGCTTTGTACTGGCACTAATAATTTATAGCCCAACCAGGGCCCTGTGGTGTGGAGACAACCCAAAAATACACCAAGTTTTGTCTTGTCAGTGTTCCACGAGCGAGTCTGTCCGTGCAGGCGCCTCTTCTCCCCCTGCCCACCCAAAACCCCAGGGTGACCTCCTCACCTAACAAATGCTGCTGAGATAATTTAATAATAATCATAAAAAATACGTCAGGCTCTTAATGTAATGAGCTACTCTGCTTGTTATAAGGGGGAGAAGTTCTGCAGCACGTGCTGGTGGGGTGGACACGTCCATGAGTCCAGCAGCCATCCACTGCCAGGTTGGGTGGTTTGTCATGACTGACTGTCACAACACTCATACACACAACACATTTTGAGCTGTGTATTTGCTCTGTTGTATTCAGCATGGCCTACATGTGTATTCTACATGGTCTAGATCAGAATTACATGGTTAAATATCCAACCTGGGCATATCAGGGTGTCACCCTTTTGTGCACAGTGTTACACGCTGTCCTCTCCTCTGTGTTCATCACATGTACATGTGAAACTCCAGCCCTATGGTCCTGTATCCCTGTGTTTGCAGGAGCCCTGCAGCTCTGCAAATGCCTGGGACAGCTCAACACCACACACAGAGCATGTGCCATGTTCACCAGGTCGTGCCTCAGCACAGGTTTGTGCCGTGCCTTTGCTGATAAGCAAATCCTTACTCCGCAGCGAAGGGAATCGCCTTCCTGCCCCCAGAGAAGCCAATCAAATCAAACAGAGTGGAAAAGAAGACAGCCTCTTCATTAACCTAACAAGGAGCCCTGGGGATTTACACTCAGAGACCAGAGATTCTCCTCCAGCTCTTGCTGGATGCTTTGCTGATGCTGCTTGTGCTCCTCCCCCGGCTCCCAGTGTGAGCCCTCCACACCTCGGGCAGGAAGCAGCAGAGGGACAGATCCTTGCACAGCCCTGCTTTTCAGTGATGCTTCAACCCTCTGCTTCCATGACTGGAACAGCATCACCTCTTCCATCTCCCTGGCTTTGCCTGATCCAGAGAGCTGAGTTACTTCCCCCACCCCTGGCTCCTGCAGCGCGGGACTCAGTACAAGGCATGGCTTTGCTCAGGGTGAAGCTGAGCCAGTGGCAGCAGTTTCAGCTCACCCGAGGGAAGGTGAGGTGGGCTGAGGAACCCGTGGATCCTGCATCCTGCCAAGTGGATCCAGGGCAGATCCTGTAACTGCCTGGTGCCCCCTTTAGGCACAGCGCAGGACATGCTGGATCCAGCCAGCTCCTTCCACAGCCCAGGGAAAACATACCAGCAATCCTTCAACTCACACTGGACCTCTTAGATCCCAGCACTGCAGGACACTTATCCCCTCTGGGCACCACTCCAGCCCCCAGGAGAAGGCAGCAACATCCTCTTGCCATTTCCATCACTACAGGGCAGGAGTGTCTGCCACTGTCTACATCTCACACCCCTGTTGTGTTATCCCAACTTGCTCATCCCCCTTGCTCCACACTGTGACCCCAAATAAAGCCTTACACCAGAGATCCTGAACATTCACATTGACACAAATTCTTGAAACAAAAGAAGGACCCCTCTCACCACCACTGCAAAATACACAGTAGTGATACTGTAGTGAATCTATTCCAGTAAAGAAAAGCGTATCCCCATAGAGAGCTACAGAAGGAACTGGCACTTACAGATGGTTGAGGGGAAATGCCCCCATGGAGATGGTGGGAGAAAAGGGCCTCTAGGACACTTTTTAGCACCACTTGTATTCACTGCATGATAAACAGACAGCACTGCAGCCCATCAAACCCCCTTAGATGCACACAGGGGGGATTAGGAACCTTTACAGAGTTATCCCGAAAGGCACCACGAGCCCCTCCTCCCCTCTGCAGATCCTGTACCTCCGTGGCTGGGCACTGCCATGCTGTTGGCCAGCTGGTAGAGACGTTGCTGCTGCTGCTCTTCAAAGGTGCCATGCTCGTTCAGTGCTGACATCATGCGTCTGTAGTGCTCCTCCGGGGTCATCTGAGTCACCGAGTCCTCCAGCAGAGGCGTGTGGGAGTTTTCTGAAGAGCAGAAAGATTTGGGTCTTTTTTTTTTTTTTTCCCAGAGAAAAATACAGTGGAAAATCACATAAGTATAGGGACAGTGCAAAAAGAGAGAGATAAGGGGGTTAGAGGGATATTAGCACAAATTCCCACAACTCTCCAGTGTCCCCACTGAGCCTGATGTACCAAGCTGCCAAATCAGCTGTCCTTGTGCTGGAGATGTACTATTTTATGTGGTCAACCTAACAACCTCCTAAACCCCCAAACATGGCTACACCTATACACAGAAAAGCCCCCATCACCCAAAAAACTCAACAGCTGTATTTTCTTCTTCCTCCTAAAGCACCAAGCACTGCATGGTAATAACACAAAATTGCCAGCAAGCTCTGTACCCCCAGCGTGGCAGAGGGGATGGGGAGGATGGAAGAGTTCACCAAGTTCTCACCCTTTCATCTCAGGGGACATGAGTTCTTTTTTCAGCTCTTACCTGGCCAGACATGCACCTCTTTCCCCCCACCTTCCTAAACACCCAGAGGACACAAAAATGTGAGAGATGCTCATCACCCAGAGCAGGGAGGTGATGCTGGCAGTGATGACATCCACCTGCCCAGCTCTAGGAGGGGGGGGGGGAAGTCTCAGGAGCAGGTTGTTTCACATCTGTACGTGTGGCTGAGCACCCTGAGGCCATTAAAATCACACCCAGGATGCCTCCCTATCCATCTTCCCGGAACGACTGCAGAGCCCAGGAGGAGGGAGGTGCTTTGAGGAAGGCCCTGCCTGCTCCTGGGGCAGGAGGGATCCCGGTCTGGCAGTCAGGGAGAGAAAACCACAGAGGCTTTTCTGTTTACTGTAAGCACAAATCAGAGTAATTACCACTCTCCGCCTTGGCTGCTCTAACACTGTTTTATCTCGGATCTTCCCCACAGGCAAAGCCTTTTCATTACTCAGAGAGGAACTCCCAGTAACAATCTGAGCGGGCAGAGGGGGAGGGAGGGATGGGCTCCCCCCACGCTGCAGTCACAAGACCACCACTGTGTTCAGTGAGTGACAAGACCACCCCACCGTGTGCCCCAGATTTGTGCTCCTTCATTTCACTGACAGAGTCCCCTCAGGGACCACGGCAGGTGATTCTGCTGCCAGACTGGCTCCAAGTTCAAGGTGGTGGCTCTGAGCACAGGCCACTCCCTTTGCACTGTGAGGAACACACAGGCACTGGCCATCCTGCTGGGAAAAGAGCTGTGGGTCTCTCCCAGGTGAGACAAAGGCCCTTAAGCTGCCTATCAGAAAATATAAGTCTATGGCAGACAAAAAACAGCCCAAGAGACAGAGAGGCTGTAAAACGTGGCCCTGCCACAGCAGCTCAGGGACTGGGTCACTTCTGCCTTGCACAGAACGAGAGGTGAATGTGCTGTCTGACACCAAACCCATGGCACAGCCAAGCACACAGGGCTCAGATTTTGATGGACGAAACCTTCGCATGTTGTAATGAAACCACTCTCTCCCCAAAACATAGGAGGGAATAACAACAATAACAGCAACAATAAATATTATTATTATTTTTAAAAATAGTCTGAGTTGCACAAAGTTTCAATACAGAAGGGTTGCATCACTGGCTCCCAAGGCACTCTTCCTCTGCAGAAAGGAAATGACCTCAGTCCCCTGCAGCTCAGGTCAGCCTTCCAGCACAGCAATTTGTGGCTCTACCTGCAACCATGGATCTCTACCCCACTTACAGACACCTGCACCTCAGGGATTGCACTGGCTTCCTGTGCAATCACAGGGTCAGAGGCTGCTTCAGGCTGGCTCGGATGAGGAGCTGGGTTCCCTGTGTGCCTCACCCCTAGAAGCCAGACCCCAAAATGAGAGGCTGCCCTGGACAACAGCCAAGACATACCTGGTCCCTCCCACTCCCTCCTCCAGCACCCAAACCTGCAAGACACCCCTGGTGGAAGCAGGGGAGTGGTGGGCAGAATTCCCTTCCAGGTCCCCTTCCCTCCCAGTCACTCCTGGGGGCCACATTCCCACATCCTCCTTTGCTCTCTCACTGCTCCTGCCACCTCCCCAGGGATGCAGAAGCACAAGGTTTCAGTTCCCTTCTGATGCTCTTAACCAAAGGTCTAAGGAGCAAAGCCACATGCCACAGACCTGATTTAGAAAAACACTGATTTTTTTTTTTTTCCCCCCACAGCTGTGTCATTAGAGGAAGAAAAGGGAGGGGGGGAGGGGATTTAATAACACTTAATTACCATAAACTCTATCGGATCAGCCGCAGAGCAGATTTCAGGTGCAAGGAGGGGAGGGAGAATGGGGGTGGCAAGGGAAGGCTGAGAGGAAGGAGGAGCCCAGGGAAAGGCTGGATTTCCACACTTAAAACTTGGAAGATTTCACATGACTCAGCCAGCAGTAATTCCAGCTTTGCTGAAGCTTTGCTGTCTGCTTTTGTCATTACCAGGGGTAATGCGGGAGACTGATCTCGCCAAATCTCCTCCAGCCGCCAGGTGTGAAATGGACTCTGGCAGGGCCAGGGGAAGGCAGAGCCAAGGCAGCATCTGCTGGGCCCTCATGCTTTCTGCCAGCCCCCTCCTGTTCACCCAAGCCAAGGGGAGCCCACCTCTGCCACCGCTGATGGCACAGCCACGGGGAACTCCTGGAGGACGCAGCCCAAAGGACACGTCACTGCTGCACAACCTTCCCACAGGATTCCGTAAGGTCCATCCTCTCCAAGCAATTCCAGACAAAACACGAGCACCCAGCCTATCCAGCCCTTCTCCTTTGCTACAAACCCATGACAGGACAAGGTTCCCTTTATCCAACCCCAGTCAAAGCTCGAGGAACCTGCTGCAAACGTGTTTCACTGCAAACTCAAGGCCAAGTCTTGGTCAGCAGCTTTAGGGTCTTCTCTTGCCAGGGCAGGGGGGGGCCTGTGCCCACTCCCACCACATCAGCAGTCTGGGTTTGGGGGGAAGGGGTGTGGCAGTGAAGTTTTTAGCAAGAACGGGGCCAAACCTTGTTCCTTCATTTGGCCTATTTGGACAGCTGCCAAAGCCACCAACATATGGATGTTCCCCTCCAAAGGAGAGGGACAAACTGACAGAGGCTGGATCTGAACTGCTCAGCTGCAGTCCAGCTCCAATTCTGGTCTAGTTCATCACCCAAAGACGCAGCAAGACTTTGTTTTGTTTTAAATGATCCACAATAGCAAAGAGAAGAGAATGGCAGAGGGAGCAGCGTATGAGCTCATCGCCCGCCCCAGGGGGTGAGCACAATATTGTTCCCTACGTGTGTTTTCCAGCACTTCGTCCAGCCCGGCTTCCAACCTTCCCAAACGATGAGGGCTCCTACCAGATTTATTTTTCAGCGGCTCAAATGGGAACCAAAAAAACACTCTTTGCCCGTTTTTCCCTCCTCGGTTTTCATTTCGCGTCTCGAGGTACGGGGGGAGCAGATCTCCAGGCGCGCTGCTGCCGCGGGAGAGCGAGGGTTTCACTTGGGGAATTGTCTCCTGGGGAGAGGAGAAAGCTTCCTCCGTGCCCTGCCAGCACAGCCCTCGCTCCCAGCCTCTGATACCGCTCCCATTTCCATATTAGACGCGAGAACGTTCTGCTCTGTTTGACAGCGGCGCGGCCCCGTTTCCACCGAGATAGGGCTCTCTTTTGATCTCTGGAGCGCACACTGCGAGCTGGGGAGGGGGAAGGGAAGGTGGCTGCTCCCCTGCTGGAAGGGTTTCCAGCCCTACAGGTGTTTTTTCACTCAGTCGGAGAGCGGGAGTGATTTCCTTGGCTGCCTCTGTTCTCCTCGCCTTGTCAGGCGCGGCCACGGCAGCACGAGCTGTGCCATGGGGTCACTCCTGCTCTTCAAAAGGCTGTTCCCCAGACAAGACAGCTGTGCCCCGAGCAAAAGCTGCTTCTAGGGCACTGTGTGATGGAGAGCAAGAGCTGCTTCCAGGGCAGCATGTGGTGGAGAGGGGCAGAGTCCTGCCTGGAGCCGGTCACTGCCACAGGGGATGTGGGATGTGGAGGAGCAGCACCTGCACAAGGCACAGGACCACCAGGCTGGAGGAGAAGGAGGGCTGTGTCCCAGGGAACGCTGCAGACCCTGCTCCTACTGCAGCACAGCGTGAGGCTGCACAGGCTCCAAAACTCCAACTGGTCCTTGCTTCCCTTCCCGCTCCTAAATCACAAACTGCACTCTGGGTCCCAGCCAAGCCTGGGGCTCCAGCACAACCTCACACTTTGCTCCACTGCAGCAGTTCCCAAATCCCAAGTAACTGGCCTTTAGGGCCCATCCCATTTGAAAATGGCTTGTCACACAGCGTGGATCGTTCTGTTTCCAGCCAGAGCTGGGAACACAGGGATCATTTCCCTCCATGGCACCCGTGACACGGGAACGCTGCCTGACTGACAGCAGGACAGGAAGGCTCCTGGGAGTTCTCAGCTGTGAGGTGCTGTCACTGTCTGGGCCTTAAGACAGCAACACTGGTTGCAGCCCCTCCTTTAACCCCCTTTCCATAGCAGGGGGTGGGGAGACAAAGACCCCCAAAGCACAGGAGTCTCGGCCCCTCACTATTCCAACGGTATTCCAGCATCAGCACAGCCTAGGTTTAAATTCCTGCACAGCACTGGAGGGAACAGGGGCTCTCCAAAGATCTAATAAAAAAAACAGGTCACATGGGAGATCACTAAAAGGCCCAGCTCCAAATTTCCATTCTGTCTCATCTCTTTTCAAAGGGCGGGGAAGGATTTCCGAGGAAGAAAAGTGGGAGCAGAAAACAAAACTTTTCTTTTATTCAGGGCTTCCTGGGAACCCCTGGAAGGGAATCCCCCCAGTCACTGGGAGCTAAGGAGCAGGATTTAGATCCCAAGTGCATCCTGCAAAGCCAAGGGTTCCTCACCTGCCTCACACTGCCCTCAGCTCAGCCCAGTAAACAAAAACGGTGGGAAGGCCAGAGGAAAAGAAATGGAATGAGATCATTTGACCCTGTTGCTCCCATGGCAAAACCAATCCATTTGTGCCAGTTCAGCCACTTTACTGGGATGACTCCAAATGCAACAGTTTGGTTTCAGACAGCTTGCTTAAAGTTTAGCCCATTCTCAGCCAGGCCACACAGGTTGCTGTTACCTGGATTCAGGAACTGTCTTGGAATTACAAAGGATACAAACTCAGCAGAAATAGCAAAGTGTCAAGTGTGTTACGGGAGTCCCATGTCTGATATAACAAACATGTTTCAGGATCTGTAGAAGCATCCTGCTGGAATTTTCCTGCACATCCACTAGAAACATTCCCAGGATATCAGGAATAGGGCAGATGAAAGCAAATCAAGGAAAACAGATAAAGAGTAGCAGTAGAAATGGTTCCCAGTAAAATCTAAGGCACTTCTACTGGTATAAAGGAGTTAACAGGCAGGAGAGGGTTACATGAAAGAGAAGATTTAGTGTGTTCTCAGGTGATGCTGGCAATATTCTATTAAGTGACACCAGCATTCAGAGTATGCTGCCTTCAGATCATAATTTGGGGACAAGAAACAATATACAGGAACATTCTGTGAAATCAGGATGCAGAACAGGTCCCTACAATATATCTTTCTAAAGCATAATATAAAGGATGTAGTTTAAGAAAGCTTTAGGACAAACTGCTGCAAAAAGTCCCTTCTGAGATTCCCTGGATGGGTTATTGAGGATATACACACCTTGGAGAGTCTCAGCTGAACTCCAAACCCATGGAACAGGATCTGCTTTTATTTTATTTTTTTATTTAAGTGGCAAAGAGCGCAGGTTAGGCACAGTGATTACACGAGAGGGGTATTACTGACAGCTAATTAGTTTGAACTTAACAACAAAGCCTTTAAGTAAACGGCCTGCAAAACCTCATTTACCCAACCTGGAGACAAACTCATTAACTGCAGGCTCCATTACCCAACCCCACTTTGCCAGCCGTAAAGAAAGTTTAAAAATCGCGTTCACAGGAAAAGAACCCGAAGACAAACCAAGAGATTAAAAAAATAAAAATAAACCCCTAAGTAGAGAAACCTTCTGCAGATTCCATCTCTATAGGAACAGAGCCATAAATGCATAAGAGAGAACCAGGCAGCCCTATTCTCCCTGACAGGCTTCTTTTTTTTTTTTTTTTCCCCTTTAAAGGAACAGATGCCAGCACGATAAGCCTGCATGTCTCTCTTTATATTAAACATGTAATCAAGACATGCTGCCCGAAAAAAGTGGAAACACCTCTAAAAATCCACCTCGAGGGCTGCGGCTCGCCTTTTTTTTTTTTTTTTTTTTTTAAACCGTAAAGCAATTATTCTAATTAAGAGGCTCACAACGCGAGCCTCCCCCCCCAGGAGATAAAGAAAGCAGAGAGAGCCCTGGTCGCCTCCCTCATGCACCCTCAGTGCCAGACACGGCTCCCACACCGCAGCCTCTTGCAAACACTCCCTCCTTCCCCCCCACCGGCTCCTTAATTTCAATTAAGTTCCACTCTTAAGAAAGGAGAAGAAAGGGGAAGGGGATGGGGGAGGGAGGGAGAAGCAGCACTTACCCTTTGGGGACTCACTTCTGGCTTTCTTGCTTTCTAAAGGACACTCACTGCTGCTGTTGGGAGAACATACTCTTCTCTTGCCTAAAATTTCATCTAGAAGAGAGATGAGAAACCTGAGTATCAAGACAAGGTTGTACTTTCCTCTTTGCAGAAGCGACCAGAGAGACTTTGGTATTTATGCTTCTCTCTCACACACACACACAGGCACACACACGCATATATTACAAGCAGAGGGGGAAAAAAAAATGAAAGTAAGAAAAATCATCATCTTGAGAGCCTTGATCTGCTTTCCTAATCACGCAGCCCAAAAGCACATAATGACTATTCACACACTGATCAATGCAACGTTTTAAAGCTATAAATTCTGAATCCAGTTGATTTCCTTACTGAGTTTCATCATTTGTTCTGGTGCCTTTTGTCCCCCCGGTGTTTCCACTCCTTTCATGCCCTGATGCAAAGCAACTGGGGGAAAGGAAGGGGAGGAAAAAAACAACACACAAAAAAAAAAAAAAAAAAAGGCACCACAAAACATCTAAAAATCCTCCCACTATATCTTTTTTTCTTCCTCCTTTTTTTCTTCTTCTCTCTTTCCTTTCCCCCCCCCCCCCCCCCCCCCCCCTCCTCCTTCAAAACCTCAAGGTCCTTAGCAATCTTCCCCCTCTGGATTGTACGGAAACACTCAAGCCTTTTGCATTACTGCAGCCCTACAAACCAACAGAAAATATCTAATATACAATTACAGCATCCCCGACCAGATTTAAAATCAATATCCTCCCATAATAACGCTGGGGGAAACTGAAAGCATGATGGTGCATATGGGCAGGAAGGAAGAGCCTGTTTGTCACTGCAAGCATCAAATTCTCATCTATCAAGGGCTTGTTAAAGATGCAGCATCTTAAAAGGGAAAAAAAAAAACCCATCTCACAAACAAGCACCATATTTGAGTGAGAATAGGTTGTATCTGCCTGTGCGTCCACACACATGCAAAGCTGCTGCAATCTGCCCAAAATGTGGGGGTTAAGGAAGGTTACAAACCCCCCTCGGTCCTATTTATAACAACAACGACATTATTTCTGTTCCAGGGGATGTTTTCAGCCAAGCAACTGTCCCTCACACTCAGAATCACTCCACATCACTTGGAATTCAGCTGAGCAGCCCAGGTTCCTGCCTTGGCACTGGATTTATCAAGAGATCCAGGGCACAGGTCTGTGGCTGCCACAAGCTGAGTGCAGAGAGCAGCCAGTCACTGTGCCCAGGGCAGCCCTACCAGCCCTCCTCTATCCCAGGAGCAATCCAGGAGCTCTGCAAAGTTCCAAGTGGCATTTCAGGCTTTTAAAGAGCACAGGCTGCCTCCGACCTCACCTTGCCATGACCCTGTCACCCAGCCCCTTAACAGAACTGGCACTCAAGAGACGACTGCAGAGCCTTGAGACCATCCAGAACCAAGAGCAAAGGAAAACACAACAGAACAGTGGCAACTGGAAAGCAGATGGGAAAGGCCAGAGTCAGCCAGTGATGGCACTGAAGTTCTCTCAGCACTTCACATCCCAGGTGATGAGTCAGTCTTTCCATTTGAATTTTATCAATCCTCCTGCCTCAGTTTCCCCTTTGCACAAACTCCTGCAAAGCCACAGACGGTCTCAGCTTGCCAAGGCAGCACCAGAGCTCGGAAGTACCTGGCCACAGAGCACAAACAGAGGCACCAGCTCCCTCCCCAGGGAACGCTTCATTCTTCATGCTGATTTTCCTGGAAACGTTGTAGCCTGATGCTGCAAACCCTCAGAGCGCTGGAGGCCAAGTTCACATATCCTCCCCAGAAGTGTTCTCAGCCAGGATTTGTGGCTTTGGAACAACAAGAAGTCCCGTTGCTCCACTCGCCCCTCCCAGCCCAGGCCGGGAGGCAGCAAAGCCCAACGAGGGCTTTTTAAGGCAGGAAGAGACTCCATGGAAAAAGAACTGGTGACAGAAGCACCGGTTCCATGTGACAGCAGTTGGAATGTGAGCAGTGAAGATTCCTTGGTTTCACAGCTCTGCCAAGGCACCTCATTACCCCCCATCCCTGCTTCCCTCCCGCTGTTCCACTCCCACCCCCGGGCCCATCTGCCAGCAGACGCTCGCTCCGACTCGCGCCGTGCCCTGCTATTCCCACTGTTCCCACACACGTCAGCAGGACAGGCTGCAAGCCCCATCTCCCTCCCAGGCAGCTGCATTGGTGCAGGGGAAGGCCAAGATCAAGCAGGAACTCTGAAACAGCACCAACTCCCTCAGACCTGTGCTCCTCCAGCCTCCGGAACCCCCATCTCTGGGCACGCAGGGAGGTGTGACATCCTGCCACGGGGAGAGGTCTCAGGTGTCCTGCCCCCTGGCTTGGTCCTCCAGAGGGATCCCACATTAGTGATTTAATCCCCAGGATGATCCTTCCAGCATCTCGGGTTCACCTTGTAGCACAGCCCCAAATCCCATGCCCTGAATGTGTATTTGGGCTGCCCCCCAGCAGGTTTTTGGCAGTCAGTTCCATCAGAGAATGAAACATTTCCTCTTTTCCATTTTATGATTTTTTTTTGTTGTTGTTTAAGGCAAAGCCCTGCAATGTGGCAGAGATGCCCCTGGCCCCAGAAGTGTGGGGACTAAATCAACAAGATACACAGTAAGCAAGGAAAAGGGAACAATTATCATCAGTAGCCAGTATGGAGGCACAAAGATCTAACAACCCACCCCAAATTTACCGAGTCATGAGGAGTGCACAAGCCTGAACAGCATTCTTCTGAGCTCCAGCCCAGTGTTTTAAGAAGTCATACCCCACCTTTGCTTTGCTTCCTTAGCTGCAAAGCAGGGCAGAGGCAGGTCCCAGTTTCATTAATTATTTAGTTAACTCACAGTTTCCAGGGTACAACCTCAACAGCGACGTGTTTGTGTTTCTTTTCCTCTTCACAACTTAACCCACGTGCCCAGCTTTGCCACACCACTGACACCTGCCAAACACACGCCCCTTTTACAGGGCCCTGCACTCTTAAATTCATCCCTTTATCTCCACGTGCCACTCATCCAACCCTTCCCTGCGCTCACACAAAGAACCAGGACACTGGGGTGGGAGCAGCCACAGTCCATCTCCCCCTGACTTTGCAGCAGCAGCAGCAGCAGCAGAACCAAATCTGTTTTGCAAATGAGCTGGCAGTGCAGCTCCTGGATGTCTCACCACCCTCACAGAGACAGGTTGTGCATCGAGTACATTGCTACTGATGGACCACAGAGCCCCAGGACAGCTGTTTGCTCAGCCCATGCACCTGCAAAGGGCAGCACTTCACCTTAAAGGATGGGGAGGGATGACTGGGGGAAGGGGGCTTTGGTTTTTTTATTCCCCGCATTCCTGGTTTTGCCTCTTCTCTCCTGCCTTCTGCAAAGCATTTCAGTTGAAAGGGAGCCAAATCAGGGCAGTTTTTAATATCAAAGCTGAGAAAGAAAGACATTATCAGTAGAACTGTAACGTTATGAAGCTGGGCCAGGCAATAACACAAGGAAGGGGGGCTGGGGGAAGCCCCAAGAATACTGATCACTCCCTGCCACCAGTGCAGCACAGCCCTGACCACAAAACCCCCCACCCACACAGGTCCCCAGACCCCACATTTACCTCCAAGGCTCCTGCTGGCCTGGCAAGGCAGTACAGAAAGTGATCCAGAGGGAGGTTTTTGGGAACAAAGTCAAATATTTTCCCCAAAGATCTAGAAATCAAAGTGGATTTTCCCCCTCTCTCTCAGCACTCACCTCCTACACTGAAGCATGAACAGAGACAGGCCTGGAAAGCAGGTAAGCTGGAGGAGGACAGTGCTGTCCCTACAAACAGGGATCACCCAACAGCTTTGCACCATAAGGAGAAAGGATGTGGGCATGGCACCATAAACCCAGCTTTTGTGGAAGCCAGGTTAGGTGGGGTTTATTTTGTCTCCTGCACTGCCTCTAATCCTCAGCCTCCCAGCACTCAGCAGAGCTGGGTGGCTTAAGAGTCATCTTCACCAACACATCTAAGAATCCCAAGCCTCCTTATCAGCTTTGATGAGAGGACTTGGGAGCCTAAGTCTGGGAAGATTAGAAAAATCTATCTCTAGGTTTCCCCAAAGACAGAGGGACTTTATCTCCACTCTTTCCATGGGAATCTGCAGCAGAGGAGATGCACCAAGGACACACATGGTGAGAACAGCGACTGGGCACAGGAATTCACCTGGAGAAGGGACAGGAATGAGGTGGTCACAACATTTCTGCCCCTCCAGTGTTCCTAAATGGGTGGGCTACAGAGAGTCCCAATTACAGCTGAGGGACTGCACCAAATTCTTCTGCACTGTGTTCATGCTCCAGCACGAGGGGAAGAGATCAAGACCTATCTCATGCTCCCTATCCATAGCCCTGGGTTTGCTCTGAAAGCTTCTTGGACCCAGAAGTCCTGAGTCAACACAGAACTGAGCCAACTTACAGGGGAAATCACCCAGGCTCACATAGCCAACATCTAACCAGAGCAGAGTCCTTTTTCCACCTCCTTTCCCATTATTTTAAGAGAAAGAAAACATCCTCCCCCTCTCTTAACTCCCCCATCAAACTTAAACCCTGAAGATGACAATCCCCACTGACCAGCCTGAAATGTCTTGGCAGCATCTCCATTTATTCAGCTCTCCCCTTCCCTCTGGCACAACCAGGCTCCCACCAGAGGAGCTTCTCCGCTCAGACAGCTCCAGAGCTCCATCCCAGCTGCTCAGCCCGTCCCTGTGCCGAACCAGACAGGTTTGGGGGGACCCTGGAGCCTCAATCCCGCAGCCATGGGCTCGTCTTTGTAAGGAGCTGCCCCAGCAGTCCCAGAGCTGCTCCCAACAAAGGCAGTCCCTGCTCACAGAGTGTGGAATCCGGCTGCGCATCGGCACCCGGCCCTTGCCAGCGGGAATCAATGGAACAAAGGGAGAGTGAAGCACAAGGTCATGGGAATAACGGGCCATAATTTAACTGAGGGCAACAAGAATGGGGGGGAAAAAAAATAAATTATTGGGGAAGCTGGGGGAAGGGAAGCAGCAAGTGGGCTTCTGGGATTTGGGAATCCTGGAACAATACAA